TCTTCACCTATCATCGCTTACTGATACCCCGCCAGTATATACTGTTAATGCAGGCGAAGTTACAATTACATTACTATGAGAGGAAGGGTTTGTCAGTAACGCGGAATGCCAATATCATTGCTAGCAAGATCGACCTCCACTTGATCCCTCCTGAAAACTATCGTACTGAATTCCACGTGTATTCATCACGATAGGCTAACTGACCTGCCTTTTCGTTCTCACCTTTCATCCCTCACAATACCATTCCATTACAATCCATTAAAAAAACTCTATTGAAATATATATATATATATATATATATATATATATAGGATATTTTTTACTGTAATAACAGTATCAGGATAATACAGGAATTCGCCGCGCGATAGATGTCGCTAGCACAGCGAATTATAAATATGTATTTAGACAGGAGATAATCTTGCAAATGAATAGAAAACACTCTTTGGATGTACCGAAAAACCGATTAAACATTTACTAGTTGCATAAACCGGTTTTTTTCTAACCACAAAAACGGTATTATTGTTTCGCATCATTAATTTCTGTAACGATTTCTGCACAACAATTCTCTAATATATCGTTTGAAAAACCTTTGTACGTTTAATTATGTACTTAGTGGTAAATTAAGTTTGATCGACTTGTATCACTATTTGAACAGAACATTTGTATTTTTTATACACTTATTAATTATACAGAATGAATTTTTCTGTCAATAAAATCAAATACTTTTCTAAGCTTCCAATGAGGCGTCAGTATAGGTGAGTAATATCTGTATATTTTAGTTACAATAACTATATATATATATATATATATATATATATATATATATATATATATATATATATATATATATATATATATATATACTGGTTCAATAACGAATATGTTATAAATCTGCTATCCAAAAAATAATATTTTGGATATTGATTTACTTTATTCTAATATATTTAAAACATAATGTACAATATATACATATATATATATATATAACTAATATATTTCATAGAATCACAAAAAAAAAAATTCCCGACCAAAAAGACCAAGAAGACCCGACCCAGAGGTCCCCATGACACTTGCGGCATTTCCGCGTTGGATTGCCAGAGATATCCTTTGAGCCAGATACGAACCAGAACGGCGATCATGGCCCCTATCCGCAATGCGCAGACTCAACTCTCTTATGAAGGATTTTGCTTCCGCTCCCCACACGCCCGTAGTCTCAAAAGCAACGGGAACGAAGATGTAAGCTGGTTCGAGAATCTTATATTTTGAATGTTTGATTCTAGCCGCAGTTTCCGCGGCCGAGCCAACCATACGAATCTTATATCGGATATTGACTTTTAACATATTCGGAAATAGATATAAAATAGATATGGGCGACATCAAAATAGGTAATGATTTTTTTCCGCCATCTGTGTCCAGACGAACCTTATGTATAGATATGGGATCGGTATCTGTATTACCCATGCCTAAGCATCAGACCGAGTGAATATACAACTATATATGGTGTAGTTTTTGATAGGTCTGCCTCAAATTTCCCGCTCATTCTTCTTAATTTTATTCTAAATCCTTTACTGTTCAGGCAGTTCGCCTATGGAACTCTCTGCCTACCTCTATTCGGTGCGCTCAAACTCTTACTAGCTTCAAAATCTCTATTAAATCCTACTACCTTTCCCTTTAGTACTATTTTCCTGTGTTCTCTCCTAATTTTCCTCCATCATTTTCTTCTGTTGTATGTGTGCTATTATATTGTATGTGTAGATAGATAGATACTCTTTATTATTTCCTCCAAAAGATTACAATAGTAAACTTATTATAAATATAAATAATTACAAGAAATAATCACAATGAGAAAACAATATAATAGTGCGCCACCTACCCTTTGTCTTTTTCTCAATGTCCTCTACCCAAAGGTTGTCTGGAAGAGATTGCTTAACAATAAGGCCGCCTTTTGTGTCACTTCTCATTAATATTTACTGTATTTATTATTTTTCTTTTTACTTGGTGCAATAAAGTGTAAAATAAATAAAACAAATAAATATAGAGATGAGTGATATTTATATATTGAGTTCTACTGGACATTGATGATCACCGATTGCAATTGTTTGGGCTAGTTTTATGGTGATAATCCGATACCGGTTGCGTCGCACAGCTTGAAGGTCGTTTTACCACACAAGAGAGTGCTGTCGCATCGCACCTGAGCGCAACTATGTTCAGATTGATAAAAAAAAAAAAAAGTAATATGGCGTTGGCGCGAAAAGTGATGATGGGTTGTTAGCAGCATACGCTCTGTTTTGTGTATTTATTTTATAATAAAGTGGTAGTTATTTACAGTAGGTATTTATAAAATGTTTGTGTAAAAATAGGAATTTCAATTATAACAAAACCACTGATAAAATAATACTGACAAAAGTAAACTAATTAGTTTTGAACTTTCCTTTTAAATAGACAATCGGCAATAAAGAAGTAGGTATGTTTTTTTTTATGCAACTTAGAATGGCAAACAAGCTGACGGCCCACCTGATGGAAAGTGGTAACCGTCGCCTATAGACATGAGCAGTACCATGGGCATAACAGAGTATACTGTTTCGCCCATGATACCCCCATGCGTTGCCATTCCTGAGGACTCAGATGTTATTCCTCTGTACCCAGTAAATTCACGCCATATCCCACCCGTCAAACCGAAACACAGCCATGCAAACACAACTGCTTCACGGTTAAAACACGAATGGGACAGAGGTACCCAAGCAAACGAATTTTGTACAGTCTTCCTCTGGTAAGTATATACTATTCACCTGCAAAGGTTTTTCAACATGTTAAACCCGGATTGTGTATTTAAAATAAAAGTAACCTATATATAAACTGTATAAAACTTAAAATTAATAAACTATATAACTATCAGTTACAAAGATATTTTTTTTAAAATTGGAAAAGAAAATACGTAACTTACAAAAAGATATACAAACGAATCGAGAAATTACTCCATTGATCTTTGAAGTTTAACATTGTAAAATATCGAAGTACAATTGTAAAATATTATGTAACTTTAACTATATAAAATTAATAGTAAAGCAATAATAAATTTAATATTTTTTTTTTTTTACAATAGACGTACGATTACTGCATTGTAATGAAATGTGTACGAGAGCATGAAACAATTTGTGTGTAAGTATGAATACATTTGATGAGTAATGATATTAAATTAATACCATTCACAATATTATACTACGACTTATAATTAACTCGTGTTCCTTCAACTTGTTCTACGAAGATAAGAGTGTATGTATCTCTGACGTTATTAAAAAATCTGGTAAAAAATTATTAATGAATGACGGAAGGAATCAAGGACATCATATAACAGCCCACGGCAAGACGGTGAGTCCTTATATCCTTTCGTTATCCCTGTCACACCTAGATTTGTTAGCATAGATTTTTTTTTTATACAACTTAGAATGGCAAACAAGCTGACGGCCCACCTGATGGAAAGTGGTAACCGTCGCCTATAGACATGAGCAGTACCATGGACGTAACAGAGTATACTGTTTCGACCATGATACCCCCCATGCGTTGCCATTCCTGAGGACTCAGGTGTTATTCCTCTGTACCCAGTAAATTCACGCCATATCCCACCCTTCAAACTAAAACACAGCCATGCAAACATATAATTGTACTAGCTCGGAATTATTCAAAATTTTTAATCTTGTACTGCTGTATCTTTTTTGATGACTCATTTGATTATATAATTAAATTGTAGAAAAATTATACTTTTCTCCCATTATTGCCTAACCCGTAATATAATATTAATTGTAATTCAGCATAATGCGCATGTTATGTGATATAAAATGCACATATAATGGGCCACTCTTATGTGATGGACATTTCGACTATGAGTACGCAGCTCGAGCCACATACGCTTCGCTGACTCGTGTCCGTTCGTGTTACGGGATGGACGAATGTCGATATCGACAAATACTTGGCTATTAGTGATTTGGCTGTGTTTCGGTTTGAAGGGTGGGATATGGCGTGAATTTACAGGGTACAAAGGAATAACACCTGAGTCCTCAGGAATGGTAACACATGGGAGGTATCATGGGCGAAACAGTATACTATGTTATGTACATGGTACTGCTCATGTCTATAGGCGACGGTTACCACTTTCTATCAAGTTATTTGCCATTCTAAGTTGTTTAAAAAACTTAGTCTTACTCATTTAACCTACTAACTTCTTGCAATACTCTCAGAGAGAACTATCTCAATAGGAAACTTATTTGTACAATATTATTGGTAGTGGTATTACTCTTAATACGTCAAAAGAGCAACTGCTGTGAAATACGACAAAAAATTTAAGCATCTCATACTAACATAGAAAATTAAAACATCTTTTTTTTATATACAACTTAGAATGGCAAACAAGCTGACGGTGCACCTGATGGAAAGTGATAACCGTTGCCTATAGATATGAGCAGTACCATGTACATAACAGAGTATACTGTTTCTCCCATAATACCCCCCATGTGTTGCCATTCCTGAGGACTCAGGTGTTATTCCTCTGTACCCAGTAAATTCACGCCATATCCCTGCCTTCAAACCTATCTAACAAACTTGTCTTATTAATATTTCAATATATCTACCAAATTATGGTCAAACTACTGACAAATAGTCCAACTCTGAATAATTATACAAATAAAATTTAAGATTGTCAATTGCATCAAACAAGGATTTTTTTTATAGAAAGTATTTAAAGTCAAATCTTTAAAACAATATTCGATGTTTTCTATATACAAATAATATGTACATAGTATATATATTTACAACACTCTATTTAGTTAGGGACTAAATGCGTTGTGTAATATGTTTAGTGATATTTATTTATTTAATTCACATACTTTAAATTAATACCAACTTTAAAAATGTATACTGTAAAATAAAACTTATTGAATGCTGCTTATCGACTACAAAATGAAAGCTCCCATCCCAACACTAATGAACACAGCAAATAGCAACGATCTCAAAGGAAAACACATTGTGGTCGACTCTCAAAGAATCCGCGGCATTACATTGCGCGGACGCATTGGGCGCGCGTGTGCAAACAAACAAACAAACATACTTGGAATAGTGATGTGACACGTCATAATGTCCAGTGAGAGTTCTGTAGCGACCGACACCAGTTCCAGGATCAGACAGTTCGGATTGTACAGGACCATCGACGCTAGGACCGAGGAGTTCCTGAAGCTGTCCAGGAAAAGGCAGATAAGGCAAGGATGCGCCTGCGCAGTAGTCTCGACGGCGATCACTGTTGCCATCATAGTGGTAATTAGATTTTTATTTCATAAATTATTGTCGCTAATCTCATTAATTATATTTGTAGTAGTTTATATTTCTTGAGTGATTAATGTGCACCGAAAATTTTAATACGAACTTAAATATGTATATAACCATTACCTACTTATTGAAAGAAACTTACTATTCAATTGTCATTGCATTCTGTAAAACAAATATTTTAGATATATTAAATTGGCTTATTTACCTTTGAGTCGTTTTAAAATTTCCGTTAAAAATAACTATTGAGTTAAGTCTATTTAGACGACGTACTCCAAAATGATACCATTTTTATAGCTCCACTAGTGTTTTTTTATATTTATTTACATAACAAAATTATAGTTATAAAACATTACATGAAGAGATACAAGAATGGTATGAAAAAATTCAAATCATTCTTTTTCTTTTTTTAAATATACTATATGGTTTCTTTCCAGCCATGACCACTATCACTAAACAATTATTATTAAAATAATAAAAGTGTCCGAGGTTAATCAATCATACACAGACTTTTAATTAATAAATTTGTTAGTTCTCTCTCTCTCTCTCTCTCTCTTCGTCCTCTTCATTACTGAAGGTCGTGTCCTTGAAAGGTGTCTGTTGCCTCTCTTATGATGTTATTCCATTTTGCACGGTCTTCAGCCTCTCGCAGGGCAGCTGCAATTGACAGTCCCGTAATTTGTTAGTTATATACAACCAAATAAATACATGAAAAGGTTAACAGAGATTTGAAAAGAGTCACTGTCTAGTTTTTTGTTTCTTCTGGACCGATAGTAACTATCTATAGTTATCTAAGAACAATATAGAAGAATTCATCTCTAAATGTTTTATTCAACTTGGAATGGTTTACCAAGCTCTTTAAATCTCTTACATTCATGCAATTAATATGCTATCGTCGAAACATATTTGCAATCATTACGAAGACTCTAAATATGAGTATCTGATGAGGTATTGGACTATTTTATTATGATTGAAAGAAAGACTTTTCAAGTAGAGGAAGCCTGTGACACTGCGACCTTTCCATGATCTTGTGTGCTCACCCTTTCTTAAAGTTCGCTGCTAATTCCCATCAATGACAGGAATTTTAAGATGTTTTTATAGTGATATTTTTTCTTCTCAAGATATAAAGTGTATTTTGCAAAGGAGATATATCGTTTATGTATGAGTGGGCTGCAGCCACACATTCAGTGCTGCGGCGTTTTTTCCTCACTATGACAAAATCTGCAAGCACTTTTTGGGCATAAGTCTAGTTGGGCCATATGCTTGTTTACTTTGCAGAGTCCAGTGAGAGTCCTTGTTAATACACACATTATTTTTACTCAAAAGAATTAATTGCTTAGAGTAATTTTCTGAAAATACCTTAATCAGGGTTTCCGAGATATTGGACTAATGAAGTTTATCTGTTTATCATCACGAGCCAAATACCTTTCGGAGAAAGTAGAATGAACCAAGTATTAAAAACCTCTATTATTAAGTCAGTCTCTTACTTCATACACTGTTATAAATGTACTTAAGTTTATGCAAATTATTCTTTCTTATTCTTTCTTTATTCTTTATTATACACGAAATATAACGTTAATCACAATTCATTTGAAACATAATGTACAAAGGCGAGCTTATCTCTAATACTTACTCTACAGGTTTTATAACCTAGTTCAGACACAGATGTTTAAACTGATCCAAATGTACAAATGAATTCGTATCTACTTTTACTGTAATTTCCAGTGCTGAGTTTGTTAAAATCATGGTTATGCAATAAAGTTATTATTATTATTTTTTTTTTTAAATTTCACTAAAATTCTCATCTCCCCTCTTAAGGAGAGGAGATGGCAACTAACCCCCGGCAGAAGCACAGTCGGCCGGGGTTCAGGGCCCCAGGGAGAGAAACATTATTATTATTATTATTATCTCTAATAAGAGATTTCTTCCAGCAAAACCTTTTCATGTTAATTGTGTTATTTTAAAAATAAAAATAGGCAGTCATACGATCTGCATATACTGTATAAACACATAAGATATGTATACACAAAGAATAATACAAACTACACATTATAAATTACATAAAATACATAAACCCTGTAAACATACACATATACTTACACATACATACATATACACATATATACACATACATTATTATTCCTTTTGTTTGTCTTTATAATCTGTATCATTCTTTGAAGGAAACAATAAAGTTCAATAAAGGACAATAAAGTTTTTATTCATTCTTTTTCAGGCTTACATGTGATGTACTCATTTAGAAACTTGACAAAAATTTGAGTCTCCAATCAGAAACATGGTATATTAATAGATTACTCTTGGTCTCTCTGACCAAGCATGGGTTTCCATTGTCTCCATATCGTGCATTCTTTTATACTAATATCAATCCACTTTTATATCATATATCTGTTTCGACAACTTTTCATTTAACCTTTTTTTCTCATGCTCGCAGTCAGATTAATGAAATTTATTGTTTACAATTTTTTTTTTATTTATTTTATACAAAAATCCACAGCTCTTAAAAACACAACTTACATGCTAAGTCTCTTATGAATACAGCCAATAACGGATTTTATTTATACAAACAAAAATTATAATTCCAAAGCGAGGTAGGCAAGTTAGAGTAGGTGTATGCAAGTAATATAACAATACATACATACATACATACCTGTCACGCCTGTCTCCCATTAGGGTAGGCAGAAACAATGGAACGCCAAACGCCAAATGCTTCGATTCAAACAAATCTCTAATAATAATATAAAAAATCCCCAATATAATAAATCTCTACAAATCCCCAATCCCTTTAATATAACAAATGAAAAAATATTATATTTATTTATAGTACATGTATTTATGTAATATTTTATTTTATATTTTAATATTTCATTTAACTGTATATTTGTTTATATATTGATTAGTGTTAATAGTAATTCGTATTCTAAATATTAATAGTTGTAGCACACTAGTTGCCCGTTAACGATATGCTTTCTAACTATATTTGGATGACTGGAAGAGATCTCTGTCAGAGATAAGTCCACCCTTGCTCACAACATTTATAAATACATTAACAATGTAACTTACAAGTGCAATAAAGAATATATATATTAAAAAATAACTAGACAATGTTTGTTCCGGAATTATGTATTATACATAAACTACTCGTACTTCGCCAAATTGGATTTACTGGGTACAGAGGAATAACATCTGAATCCTCAGGAATGGCAACGCATGGGAGGTATCATGGGCGAAACAGTATACTTTGTTATGTCCATGGTACTGCTCATGTCTATAGGCGACGGTTACCACTTTCCATCAGGTGGGCCGTCAGCTTGTTTGCCATTCTAAGTTGTATTAAAAAAAACCTTGTGTTTCGGAAAGTCTAAATTGAATTCTGGTGTATACTGGTTCGTCTTGTAAAAGTGATTCTTTTAATTAGTTCTCCTACTTCTTAAAACCATGTGTGTAATGTAGCGGGAAAAAACTAGTCTAGATGCAAAAAATAACAGTTGAGACAAATTCTTTAATTTTAAAATGTATGTAACGAGATTTACTTTATTTTACACAAATGTATGACGCCATTGTCCTAGGTCTTATTAATTAAAAAAAAAGTACTATTGATGGTAGTTCATTCTAAACGGTCTTACCATCATATCGCCACGTTTTCCATAAAAATTACATACTCGTAATACACCAATTACTCACTTCCGGCCCATAAAATAGAAAGTCACTATAGAATTAAATAAATACATATAGCTCATGACTATAATATCAAATGAAACGTTTAGAAGTACTTTATAATTAAATTATATTATAATTAGATAATTTACATAAATTGTCCGTGTGGTCCCAGCATAGAATAGGCCATCCCTTCCATTCCCGTGTGTGTAATAGGTGACCAAGAGAACTTAATGGTCGAGGAATCGGCAGCAGCGTCCCTCTTAAAACATGTCTAAAGCCTTTTTTTTATATACCACTGAGGTGGCTAACAAGCATACGGCCCACCTGATCGTAAGCGGTTACCGTAGCCTATGAAAGCCTGCAATACCAGAGGCATTACGCGCGCACTGCCGACCCTGAAGAAACGTCATTACCCCGCTTTTCAAGAACCCCATGCTGTAGTCTCTTGGGAAAACCTCGGCAGGGAGCTCATTCCATAACCTAAGTGTTCGTGTGAGAAAACATCTCTGAAACCGCGTTGTACGCGACCATTTAGGCTGTAAGGTATGAGGGTGTCAATGGCGAGCCGTACGATGATAGAAAGTGGCCGTAGGCCTAACTGCGGTTATCAATCTGTCTGCCAAGCGTGGCAACGACTGGCAAAACCCCCTAAAGGGGAGGCTTATATTTAGCAATGAACAGTTAAAACCTTATATGATGATAGTTATATTTAATTATATTAATCTACTACTAATATTATAAAGAGATTTTTATGTGTATGTATGTTTGTAATGAATAAACTTAAAAATTACTTTGGCGATTTCAAAAATTCTTACACCATTAGAAAGTTACATTCACTCTGAGCAACATAGGCTATATTTATTGCTAAAAAAGATTAAGGGTCCTTACTAAAACTTTAGTAACGTAACTCGAGATATAAAAAAATGCTATATCTTTCGTCGCGTGCTCTGCGAAAACTATTGGTGATAGAATAAAAGTATGTTCTACAGTATTGAAGAAAATATCAATAACTACAAAAAACTTCGCGATACTATATGTCCAACTATTATCATTATGTCACAATAGCCGCTTTTTAAAATGTTGTAAAAATGTCCACCCGTGCGAAGCCGAAGCGGGCCGTTAGTAATTATATATAATTATAAAGTTGTGACTGGAGAATAATAAAACAATATGACACTTGAAACAATTTTTATTTTTATTAAACTTAATAGCAAATAAGCTGACGGCCCACCTGATGGAAAATGGTAACCGTCGCCTATAGACATAAGCAGTACCGTGGACATAACAGAGTATACTGTTTCGCCCATGATACCCCC